ATACTGTAGTAAATGTTACTTTCTTTAAAAAATCATTGAATCAAATTCTTTAAACCATCTTAATTTGACAAGTTAACAGTAACCATTAAAATTTTTTTATAAATTTCTTTATATATCACACTTAGCCTATATCAACATAAGGAGTTATGCAGCATAATGAGCATTTCACTAGAACTCTATCTTACTACAATTAAACTTAGGCTAAACTCATTGTTAAATTAGTTACTACTGATATCGTGGTATCAAAGCCAGATACGAGATTCTAAGGTTGAGCCTACTTCAGTAACAAACAAACGGTAGATGGAACTCAAAATTAGCATATAAACAAGTGCACCATAATCAATCCGTAAAAAAAAACATACAGTATATTGTTTAAGTGTTCGGTTAGGTATTAAAGAGTACATAAATTACGAATATAATTTAGACAAACCAAAAGTAGTTTCTCTAACTAATTAACTATCCACAGTCCAACAACATTTTAGGAGATACGAAGTGGGGCTAATACAATATCTATAGAACTTTTCAGTATCCAACTGTTGACAATATTAGCAAAAATCATTGATGTACCTGACTTTGTGTGTGAGAGGATCACTATTGCAGTTGCTCCAATAGAAGTGAAGTTCAAACCTAAGATTTAAGTGGTTGGAAATCAAATGATCTAATCACTAAGCGAACAAATATTCTGTTAACTGAGGTAGAAATGTAAATATAAACATATTCCAACTAAAATAACACAATCAGTCCTGAGAAACACAGAACCTGGTAAATACGCTCACCATAGGTTCAAGTTGCCACAACATATAGCCAAAGCAAGATGAAGTTATCAAAACAAATCCCAGATTAATAAAAGTAGTAACAGTATTAGTGGTAATAGGCAAAAAACGGTAAGATTCACCAAAAAGGATATTTAAATTAAAAAGTATGAGTATTTTAAAACAAAGAGTGGATGCATCGGCACTATTGTGAACGATTCTGAGCGATGTCATCCAACGTCTCTGACCACTGATCACGGTTACCACGAGACCTTAACCAAACAACCCGAACCTAACAATTGGACTCAGTCTAACAGTCAGTGTCTTCATGAGCTGGTGTCATATCCCGGTTCGATCATTTCCTAACTTCTTTCCAACCTGGGCCTACACTAGCAAACATCACGCATGGTAGGGTTAGGCACACGTAGTACATGTCGGAAAATAGTACAATCAATCAAATTCAGGTAAACATTATTTAGATTAGTTGATTACATTTGTTTATTAGTATTTATTATTAATCTGTCTTAGAAAAAATAAAACGATGGTTGAATAGAAAACAAAATTAAGGCTATCTTTATGCCCATAGTTATTACTGGATAAATAGTGAATCTGTAACTGAACAAGTAAGCAAGGAAAAACAACTGATAAATGACATCCCAATATGTGATTAATACAGTCCAATAATTATTTTACACACAACAACGAATTTACCATTATCCCTCCTGTCCAAAAAAACAATAAATACTATTATAGTTAATCACAGTAACCGGAAAGAGGACAAATTCTACTCTAATGAATATGAACACACACACGTACACATGTACATCAAAACAAAGCTTGCCAAAGTATACATTTTAGTGGTTGTGCAACGATAAACGGATAATAAAAAATACCATCACTAAATTCAGATATTTATTCATGTATGCCTTTTATTTGAAATAAATTGTAAATGTTATTTAAATAATTCCATTACGCTTAATGCATAAAATGTTGTCTTCCCTTTAGGCAAAGTTATAGAAAAACTGTGTTGCTGTTCTTAAAATTCACAATTATATGACAAATAAAACTATACATATATACATAAGTTATACAAGCAGATAGACGATCAAATCAATGTAGGAGGATGAAGGAAGACAAATATACTTATTCACTTTATTAAACATAAACAACAAAACCAGTAGGAGATTGTAAATTTGTAATTTGATTACAAAACTAACATTAAATACAATGAGTGCTTATATTTTTTGCTGAATTGAACAAGAAAAAAAGAGGAATGTTTATTCGAGATTGTAATAAGTAATGTTTTGAGACCTTTTTTCGGAGAATGAGAAGCTGTTCTGATTTATTCAGGCAAAAATGAAGTGTATAAATACTTTAAAGTATTTCGGTATGAAATCTGATACATTTAGTGTTATCTGGTCGAGTAATAATATATTATCCAGAACTTCATCTACCATGCCTCTAGAACTAGCTGCTTTAGAATGGATTCAACACTTTTGGTTTGATTATTTAACTACAGATTGATAGGTTGATCTGTTCACGTCTACCAGGACGTCCACCCACTCTTCCTGGAAAGCGGACATATCATCTAGTGACATAGGACTGAACTAAACCAAATGTGACTAGAAGATAATTCAAAGGTAGATTAGACATTATTTGTTTATCAGATCATATACTCTCTGGGTCAAATGCCTTTCATAGTAAAAAAAGAAAGCTTACGACTTGGAACCTGTCACAGATTAGGATTTCACGACTTCTGATGAAGCGAATTGTTGACTGTTAAAATGAGAAAGAATTTTAGTCGATAAATGATGCTATTGCAATGATATGTTGAGGCTGAGTAGTGACCGTTACCTAGGATGTATTGTTGATGAATGATTTGAGATCAAAGACAAGACAACTAGTCATAATAGATTTTTCGTGTAATAAAATAACATGTTTATAAGCATGATTTCATGCTTGTACTTCGTTGTTATCATCATTTTAACAGATATTTTTATATGTGTTGCCATCCAGTTTTTATCTAGTTTTAATAATATTGTGGTGTGTGCTACTGATGTCGACAGATATCATCGATTGAAAGTGAAATACTTGGCGGAGGAAGGTTAAGAAGATCGGAGAGAAAATAACGAGAACAGAGAGTGATTGGTTTGGAAAAGAAGAGTCAGTCAATTATGAGATAACTGGATGACATTTTGCAAATGAGAAGTTTACTGTATGGTTCTCGGATTTTACTAAGAGATTTTGTAATTATGTGTTGAGATACATTTGATTGTCCCCACTTGAGTTCTCGTTCACTAAAATATCATTTATGGTTCGTGCATGCATCCTAACATCTGAATACTGTCTCACTTTTATTACAACCTATAACCTGGTCCTAATATCCTTAATTATTTACTAAAAAGCAAAACAGTATTATGTAATAAGCTTGACGATAATCACTATTTGATGATAATATTCCAATACAAATAATTAGGTTTTAAAAAACTGTTTTTTTAGCAACAATTACTATTCGCTGTACATTTGAATAAATAGTAATGAAGTACATATGTACACATCAAACATTAAAAGAACTGATCAATACAAGATGGTAATGAAAAAAAGTAATAAAATTTGTGAAATTCAACATTTTGCTTAGTAGTAACTGTATAATTGTGAAGTGAACTCGATTAGGATTGGATCATTTTTATTATAGGGTATTATCGGTTGAAGAACCATTAAAAAGTTTAGGGAGCGATAAACAACAATTTTTTTCTATATTAGAACTATTCAAAAAATGTGAACCCACTATCAAACACACGGGATCACTAGGTGCACGATCGTATTATACACACCATTCGCATGATATACTTAAGAGCTCATTGTGAAACAGCGGGCGCCTGATGCAGCGAAGCTCAGGTTTACGTACTCAGTTTTGGGTCATGCTGTTTGGATAGGAACTATGGATATTACTCCGTTGGTGATATGTTCGTGCACCAAAACACTATTTCGCAACTTCCACCTCATTATAGTGAACGAAACTACTCCTGTATTCACTGTTCTGCCAACCAGAGTATGACGTCCAGTTCCGTAATTAAAGCAATGTCGATAATGACCCCAGAAGAATTAAAAATACATATGAGTTAATCCATCACATCATTAGTTTTAATGATTACAATTTATTAACAGTAACTATTACTAAACATGGATTACAATTAAAATGCATTGAAATCCCATAAATTAATGTCATGAAAATGTATTGAAAGTTGATTTTACATTCGCCTAAAATAGATAGTGGGTTTTTATTCACAAGTTGTATTTGGGAGCTTCATATCCCCAACAGCTGGTCAAACCATACTGATGTGCAGCGCTATTTAAACCTGAGACCTAATACTGAAGTACAAAGCCATAGTTTCACAACAAGAAATCTTACCGTACAAATCTCTGTTATTAGAATTCAACGTAATTTAAAAAAGGAGCATGTAACGAGAGAAAAAATGCAAAAAGGAGTTTTAGATCCATATTTTAGTAGATAAAATTGAACTACCAGTTTCCAATGCTACCACGTAAAGTAGATGAAATACAGCATTTAATATTAAACTGAAATCTGGGCGCTTAGTACCTTTACAAGTTATTTTTCACTATACCACTAAATTTGTATGAACACTACGGGATTCATAGTTGACACAAATGAACATGATACTAGCGGTACAAAAGAGAAGTGCCACGTTATTCATAAAGATAAGCAAAAATAGGGGAATTAGTAGAGCCTTGAAATACTTGAGGATTTTTGACAACCTCGACTATATTATACCACACCATTTCACTTTGACTGACCTCCACTTGAATAAGCTTGACTGTCTTTGATAATTTTGTAAACACCTCTATCTTACTATAGACTACCTATAAATGCGATTGTACAGCTTCAGAAAATGGTATCATCGAAAATTTTATTCGCTGAAACTCCATTCTTTTTACGTGTTTGTTGCAATAAACTTAGATTATAAAAATGCGTGTTGTAACTAGTTTTCTTTGCTTTCATGTTTATCTAACCAACAAATGAAAGCTCTGAATCGTACTATGCGTGATAAATCAGGCGAATTGCATAAAATTAGCTGAAGTTTGTATAACCAGAAAATTTTTAAAAATATTGCTACGCAAATACGTAACGCAAAACAAAAAAAAGACGGACATGTATGATAGAAAATGTTAGTAGCATTCCATTTTGCTCCTTTTAAGATTCAAAACTTCGCAAAATACATTACTTACCTGATTATCTGGCTGACGCCAACCTACGATACGATAAGCATCTAAACCTTTTTGTTGTAAAATTTGAACCCATGAAAGTGAGCGTGTCCCACCACTTGGTAGCCATATTCGGTCTTCAATGTTAAACTGTAAAACATACGCTTGAGCTGAGGCCACTGGTGATTCTCTACAGTAAAGTGATAAAGAACATTTCCAAACAAAAAAAACCATAAATTTGGAATCAACTTTTTATTAGCCAAGATAAATACGATTGTTGAACTCATAAATATCACGGATAATATCGAATGTTTACAACGTTTGATAAGATTGCGAATTATAGGTAAATAAACATGCTAACTTCTAGTAATAGGGGAACTGGAAATTCCTGATAAATCTCATCCGTAATCATGACAGAAAACAACTGGACATGAGCATCTGTATTGTAATAAGAATTGGAGCAATATCTTCAGGGGCGAAATGATCACTTTTTTCCTTTACTTGCCAATGGAAACATCTACTAAGTGAACTATGGTATTAAATCAAGCCTAAAGTATGACCTCGATGCACACACACAAGATATATAGAATATAATGCCTAGAAAAACCTCATCTCAGGCTACAAACGGAGATGTTTTGTTGTTTCAGAGCCCCAGTTGACAATCAAATGATTATAATCTTAGATGCACACCAACTAGCCTGGACCCTTGAATACGACTCTACTTATAAGTCAGTTCGTTGAAATGAATATGATTAAGTTTATTTAGTATGGAAAGTTCACAAATGAACACAATTAAACTGACGATAGCAAATTCAGTGAAACCAGAATTTTACTTACTTTAACTCTCTGACTGAAGACATTAGATATGCATCTATATTCCTGAACGCTGATGTATGGAGGCTGATGACTTCAAAGAAATGAGGCTCTAGTCAGTTGAGTCAAAAACGTGACTATCCCTCTTTATTTCTGCTTAATTTTATGACGGAATTTTTCCCTTAATTATACTTTGTTCGTTTTTATTTTCGCTCCTTGGGTAAACGTTTCAAATTTCACGTTATACTAAAATTGATGACACAGAAAAGGGTAAGGATTAAAAGAGATGGTTAGGAGTACAACAATAAATTAGTTACTGGGAACAAACTGGTCACATCATAGTAAGAAGCAAAATTAAAAGGAATACTTACATGTATAAAGTTCGTCGGACGACCTTGAGATGTAAACCTCCCACCATTATACAAGCGGCTTTAGATATATTAGTTTCAATTCGTAACACCACATAGAGATATGTACAAGGTCAGAAAAAGTGATTGCTATTAACAGGTCATAGAGCAGTAAACGGTTTCAGGAAAATCAATTCTTTATACTTTTTGCAGTCCTGGAACCTAGCTTTCCGTGTGAATCGAATAACCAGTCTGAAATCTTTAATATAAATGATTTACGTTGTTATTAAGTCTTTTAAACGCACATAAGGATACAGATAATGCTATGTGTTTAATAATTGAAAAAAATCAACCCTAGACTATGTATCTTGCAAGCAAGTGTCCTACTACTAAGCAGTTTAGTTTGTAGTGCCTATGAAATGTCACCCAGCACTTGGATCACTAAATATCTAACAGTTTGCATACCTTCGTCAAAGTAAGGGACAATCAGCGTGCACTGTATAATTTAGCATCCTAGACTGACCCACATGACTGTGGTCACAATGTATTTCTTGTATCAACTAATACTGATATATTTCTGCAATAACGTGTAGTGGTAAATAAATCCCCGAAATAAATAGTTCTGTAAGTTTTCGACATTTAATACTGACTGCATTAGTTTCAATGGACTCACTTAGCTGAAGGCGCTCGATCAAGCAGCCGTACCAGATCACAGGTGGGTACGTCATGCTACATATCCCTTTTAACTATTAGCCCAACATTCCTACGAAATACATATAGTCTTACAAATATATCTTCGGACTCGTTCATTTCAAGCTTCTGATTTCAGTGGGTTGGCACGTCTTGGTTACAAAAGGTGTTACTAGTTAGTGTGTTGACAAGCTCCGAATACTTGTGTCATCTTTAGTAGTAAGCCCAATGTGATCCGTTACACCTATTCGTAAACCGTGAGTACGCTCGTTTTGGAACTTTATATACCAATTTTTAATTTTTACATATCGCGATATTTTTGGGATAGAAATTTTTCGATATTTTCTTCTCATTCATTAGTGTACTTTATATTTTTCATGATGGAAGAAAATCCCAATTTATTTAAGATCAAGTCTCTTGCGTCGTCTTTATTTCAGCTAGTGCCATACTTGCCCGAACGCTTCGTCATCTGGTTCTGCTACATAGGAGCTGAATTCCACAAGCATGGAGTTTCAGACCCAGGTGCACAATTCCTTGCATTAGTGAAGGCACGGCCACACGAATTCAACAGGTATGCCTCACCTGAAATGTTTACTATGGATGTTTCAGAATCTGACGAAACTTTGAAAAAGGCTATCCGTAAGAGTGGTGATGTAACCGATCTACAAAGGCAACACCAACTATCCAACAGCACTGAGCTGCAGTAGAGCTTAGCAACAGACATGTCCTTGGTCAACAGACTTTTGATGGGGGCCGGTTTAGACTACTTTTCTTATCTAAGCTTCCTCGTTAGGAGCGGACAGTGTTGGTATCATTTCAAAACAACACTGGACGAACTGGCTACATCTGCCGACCGGATTCTTGAGATGACCAGAGCTTTTAGCACCAAGGTTTATTCAATCAAATGAAAGCCTCAAACGACAAGACATGACGTCAAAGAACTGTCATGATATGACACGTTACCTTGCTGCCCGAAGGAGTACTTCTTAAAAATGATCTGTCTCTAGATCTCAAGGGACAGAAAGACCTGGTTGGCGCTCGTACCACTATAAGTATGGGAAATCTCCCCGAAATCGCAGAAAATCCTGTTAAGGGCCCTTAATTCCTCTGGTCCGTGGACACTGGTGTAAACGTTGGCACTGTTCCGGCGAATTTGAACGCCTGACATTGTGAAGCAGTTTGCAACTTACAATCGGCAAATCAGAAACCGATCGCCACATATACTAAACTGTGTGCTTGTCTTAACGTTGGTCTGCACAAACTCATTAACCAGGTCTTTGTTGTTGCAGATGCTTCTATGTCAACCATTGGTACAGAGCTGTAACAGCGTCATAATCTACTCATCGACACGAAATTAGTAGATGCCAATACTAACTTATTTGCTTGGGTAACTTCGTTTTCCGGTTGTAGATCAACCGCAGTCACAGTAAGACACACGATCAATCCATAATACCAACAAATACACGATAAGTACCCCGAACTTTACCAAACGCAACCGAAATTTCCTTGGGTAGCCGGCAATATTGCAAATCACATCACGACTACAGGACCACATGTATTTTCAGAAGCGCTCCAAGCGTCCCAAAATCTGTGGTTGGCTAGAAATGAATTTGATCACATGATAGGTTTAGGGATCATTCAACCATCAAAAAGCCCATAGGAATCTCTCTTGAACACGGTCTCTAAAGAGGATAGAGATGATTGCCGTCCAACTGATGACAGTCGGCGACTAAATGCAAATCCATTCCTGATCGTCACCCTTCGCCTCACGTTCACGATTTGACAGCGGCCTTGAAAGGTACAACTGTTTTCTCGGAAATCGGCTTGGTTGAGGCTTATTACCAAATTCCCATGTCTACTGACAATATTCCTAAATCCGCTATCATCAATCCCCTTAGACTTCACAAATTTTTCCGCTTGTCTTCCGGCTTAAGAAATGCTGCACAAACTTTTCGGAGATTCTTCGATGGCGTTTTCCGAGGTCTCAACTTCTTACTTGTATATGTTACTGACTGCCTGGTCGCAAGTCCAACCAAAGAATCCGATCTCCAGCATGTGGACCTTGTCTTTGAACGACTGCAAAAACACGGCATTACTGTAAACAACCAAAAATGTCAGTGTCACCGACTCCTTAGATTTTCTCGGACATATTATTGTTTAAGGCATCTGACCTCTAAAATCCAAAGGAGTGGCCCGTTTTGTGTTTTTACGCACGTACCGATATCAGTTTACATGAAACTGTATATCACTTTTTTCTATTCAAGAACGGTCGAAAAAAAATGATGGAGATTACGATAATGCGAAATTTACATTCTACTTGTTTCTCGTTAGTATATTGTACCAAATGGCCTTTACAGAATGAAAAGACGACCAGATTCTGCTGAACGTAACAACCCACCAGAAGAGTGTTTATCAATGATAAACTCGTTGAGTTTAGACTTCTGGTTTGCCTCGCCGTAGGATCATCACTGCTCCGCCATGAAGAGAGTGATCTGTAGCTGTAAATTAACCCTAAAAATGAATAGTCCTGCAAATGTTCGACATTTGATGCTGACCGCATTAGATTTGGTAAACTGACCTAGCTGAATGTACTCGGTCGCGCATCCCAACCAGACCACGTGTAGGTAAGCCGGTTTTCACTTCTACAATTACTAGCCAGCTTAGATTTGTCATTTCTCGACCTATCGATATTCTATCAAATATATATTCGATCCTATTCTCTTCTGACTTCTGATTTCACTGGATTAACACATTTCGATTATAGAATGTGTTACTGGTTAAGGCTCTGTCAAACACAGAACACTTGCGGCAGCTTTAACTGTAATCAGATCTCAACTCATTTGGACATTGGTTGTCTCATTTAATCACGTTCTCACTGGAAATAAATGAATCACTATGACAAACCACATTTGTTAAAATAACAAAGTTTTGATCAGGATTCGGTGCACTTTATATTTCTTCCTCATATTTGTTAATAATTTCATTTGAAGTGCATAAATCTTTGGATAAAAGAATGTCTGGTACAATAGTATCTTGAATCTAATTGAAGTACGATTCATTTGTAACATTCACCTTAATAGGATCGGGATTACAAGGTTCAGCATTACTTGAAGCGAAATGAACAGCAGTATCACAAACTGCCGGTGTTTGTTCAATTTTACAATATTTGGGGCATTTAGCATTATAAAATACATATGAGTTATATGGGAAAGATTTGCTACAGGACGAACATTTATTAAAATTGTGCTTAGCTTAGCTACCTGCATTACGACACCTCAATGAATTATTATCTGAATTTGATTAAGATGACGTAGTAATGTAGTGGAATTAGTCATGACCCGACGAGTTATTTTAGGAACTATTGCTCCTTTACAGTATTTAAAATTTGTACACTTTATATGGTCTAGTAGTAGTTCATTGAGAGTTGATTAAAGAAGTGAAATAGGCTTTTCTGGGAATGCCAAAATTTTTCATAAGCTTTAGGCTTCTTTACTGATGAATGTAAGTGAGCGTTAATAATGAAATACTCAACATCTTCCTTGATCATGCTCCACATTTCGAAACATCCCATATAATCTCTAAAAGCTTTAGAATTTGAATGTATGTACAACTATTCCATCACAGGCTCCATCGCAACACCAATGTGATAATTAAAAGTATTTGAATTAATATACGAACTAGGAATTCCTGAAATAGTGCAATTTAGAACATGTAGAACTAGGGTAGCACAAATGAACGTATTGTATTTCGAATTCGAAATCAGGCAAACACCAAATACAAAACAATCATTAGTTCATAAAAACATCACACTCAGACAGGTTGTAATGTAGAAACCTTTCTTTTATCTCATTGGCATCCATAAAAGCCGGTTTGGTTATTTATTCTGACTGTACTTATCTTGTCATATCTGTCACCTGTGAAGACGTTTTGAGTGGGATATGAATTAAAATACGGTGAGACTATAATTTATGGATGACCTTTGAGCGGTGCTACAGTGACCTTGAGATTGTTCACTAATAAGTAGGACCAAATGAGGGTTATGAACCAGTGTGAGGAATTACAGTTATGATTTATAGTTAATGATTAAGTTTAGGAATTAGATTTATTGTTTTCATCACAAACTGGCATAACCTAATATGCCGAAACGATATTTAATCAAACGGATGAATGAATTTCGCTCCAAAAATCCGAGACCTATTATCTTTTACTTGTTTGGTTCGTCCATAAATTATAGTCTCACTTCAAATACCTCTAATTTTCACATTGCCGTTGCTATGTTGCCTGTGAGGGATTATTTTGACATACATTCAAATTCTGAAGCATTTGGGGATTATATGGAA